AAGAAGTGAAAATGGCCGGTCCTTGCCTTAAGCGATGACATTATCTTGTGAAATTCCTTTTCCTGGCTCATCCTGGCTCAAAAACTTCCCCCACGGAGCACCCTGTGACTCCCACTCCTGCCTGCCAGAGAACAACACCCCTTTGACTGTAATTTTTCTTTACCTACCCAAATCCTATAAAATGGCCCCACCCCATCTCCCTTCGCTGACTCTCTTTTCGGACTCAGCCCGCCTGCACCCAGGTGATTAAAAAGCTTTATTGCTCACACAAAGCCTGTTTGGTGGTCTCTTCACATGGACGCACATGACAATGATGGTGTTTATTTTCTTCTAAATGTCTTTTTAAGGAAATAAAAAGAAAAATTTAAATTATTAGCAAGGATTTTTACCATTCATCTTTATATTATGCACTACTAATTTTAAACACAAGTGTGTTTCATTAACTTGTATGGAGAATCACCAAAATACACATTTTGTATTTTATTACTCATGCATGCATAGGCTTTTATTCTAACAAGAAGAGTAAAAACACTGCACGAGTCTAACTCAAATGATTTTGTTTCACTTATTGATATGTGCATATTCTGCCAATATTCTTTACCTTTGGCATACTGGTGACTAACAGAGAACTGAAAGGAAAAGTAATCATTTGACCATGGTGGGCTCATACAGTGAACTAATATGAATAAGAGAGGACATTGTAGGGTTCCCTTGTTGCTCATGTTTCTTAGAATGCCATTGCCTTCTTTCTGTGTTTGGAGTAAGTTCTGCTTTGGATGAAAAGTGTGGCTTCTACAGGCTGTCAGCATTATGCTTACTCAGCTATAGATGACATGCTGATTGGTGATTGGCTTTACGTCTTGCTGAACTCCCACTCATCGGTGGATCTACTGGAGTTCTGTGGCTGTGGGGTATTGAGAATGGGACAACAAAGAAAGGAGAACACCCATGTTGTGCTATCTCTTCTGCTCACCTGGATGCTCCATTGTCCCAGTGGACTTTACCTACAAAATGCACATTCAAAAATCAGATTGTTAAAAATTTCAAGATGGTGACAGTAGAGCATGGAACCAAACCCAGGGTTCTTCTGAGTGCGGGATCTTGTGAGGTTCCTCAGATTGCGTGTCCATGAAGTGGTCTTGCTTGGGAAACTCTGGAGCTTGGATGGCCCTTCAGAATTGCTCTAACTAAAGCAAAGAGGAGCTGGGTTTTGAATATCCACACTAACTGGTCAAAGCTGTAAGCCAGCCCCTGGGAGGAGGCATAACTCTGGGCAAGGCAGTTCTTTATGGTCTAGGGCAATTCTAGTGTGGAGTGCATCCACTTGGAGCTGTCAGTAGCCCACATTTCTCGAAACTGGGAGATGGGTGCACGTGCTGCAAGGAGGAGATACGGGCACTGCACCAGCGCAGTCACTCCATCAAGGTCCAGGCTTGCCAACACAGGGAGTTTTGAAGTGAGCAGGAACAGCTCTCTCTACTTCCAAAAGCTGTCATAAGAGAGCACTAAGGGATTATTTTCAACCTTGTGATTTTAACATTTTGTTGCAATGGTCTTTTTCCTTCACATGCACCCATATACCCACATGTAACAGTGTATCCAGTGGATTCATAATTCTGTGCCAGGAATTCCTACAGTCTTTGACTTTGCTCCCCTTGGCCATTCAATCCCAGAGCTCCAAAAGTTCTGCAGGAATACTGTAGGGTGCCCACAAGTTATGGTTCCTTCTGTGACCTGCATATGCCTGTATCTACAAACCTGGACACACCACACACCAGTCTTATCCTTGGATCCAGCCTCAGCAATTTCTCTGTATCACAGCAAGCCTGAATGTGATTGTTCTTTAAAATTCTTGCAACAAAAGCAGATGATTCAATTTCTTATTGAGCTAATTCTTAAAGACAACAAATATATATGTTTAACATTTTGTGTTTTTAATCTTTTTTTTTTGTTTAGAACCTCTTTATGGAAACATGTCTAGCTTACTAAGGTAAAATTGACTCACTCATTGACCCATTCAGCAAATTATTTATTGACTCACTCATTGACCCATTCAGCAAATTATTTATTGATTATAAATTGACTCACTCATTGACCCATTCAGCAAATTATTTATTGATCTCCTATTTATCAGACAGTGTGGAATATAGGAAAGGTCTCTGCCCTTCTGGAGTTTCTAACCCAATGGGGAAAACTGATAATACATAACTAAATAACTCATATGCCAGTATAATTACAATGGATAAGTACTAGGAAGAAAACGATTGTGATAGTAGGTAACCAGGAGGGGTGTACTTTGATAACTATCACCTCTTGGATCTTGACTCCTGGCTCGATCTCCCTCTTACAGATAGGCAATGCAAGTGGTTTTTGTTTTAGCTTTATTTATTTATTTATCCTCCAAGGCTGGAGGGCAATGCTGCAATCTTGGCTCACTGTAACCTCCGCCAAATGGGTTCAATGGATTCTTGTGCCTCAGCCTCTTCAGTAGCTGGGACTATAGGCGCATATAGCCACCATACCCTGCTAATTTTTGTATTTTCAGTAGAGATGGGGTTTCACCATGTTGGCCAGGCTGTCTTGAACTCCTTACCTCAGGTGATCCATCTGCCTTGGCCTCCCAAAGTGCTGGGATTACAGGCATGAGCCACTGCACCCAGCCTGTTTTAGCTTTTTAAAGCCTTACTTTCCTCATTTGTAAAACTTCAGCTGATAGTATTCCTGTGAGGATTAAATAGCTTGTCTTAGTTTGGGTTCCCTCAGAAACAGACCTTGACATAACAATTCAGGTTTATGTAGTTGATTTGGGAGATGGTCCCAGGAAATACCAGGAGGAGAGTGAGGGAGTGATGCAGCTGCTGCAAGGTGTGTTAATGACCACTGTGAACAGCTGGGGCTAATCCCGCTGGAGACCTCATTGGGGGGTGGGGAGAAGGGAGGGCCTGTAAAGTGCCCCTGGGTTGTCTAGAGCCTGGCTCAGAGTTGTCCTGCTAATGGGGAAAGACGTTTGCATATTTCTCCACCATCTCTTGTTTATTGTAGGTTGAGTGTTGCTCCCAGAATTGTTAACTCCTTGTACATACAACCTGCCCAGTGAGGTGCTGAGCATGCTCCTGTAGCCAGAGAAAACTTTCCATGGAGAACTGCAGGTGCTGTAGGTGAGGTGGGTTGGCATGCATGGGACAAGCATGCCATGGGAGCGTGGTGGTAGTATTGACAGTCAGCCAACACTACAAACAGCCAATGCACATAAAGTAGAATCTGCCCCTTAAAAGGTGCTCAATAAATGGTAGCTATCATTTTCTTGCATTTGGTACTTGTCAATCATGTTGTTACATAAACATGACTGTTGTGTAACAACACACACACACAAACATCTTATTTTACAGTCTATATTTAAGCTCCTTGAAATTCTTTTCAGTATCTAACATTGTTTCTTTCCACAGTGGGTACTTACCGGAATGACTAAATCATTTTCCATTTTTTTGTTCTTGTTATTTTTAAGTCAACTTTATTGAGACATTTTGACATTTTGATTGCTTGACTATCATCCAACAAGTTAACTGTTTTATCTTGACAGCATTCTGTTTAGAAAAGATAACTGGGGAAAAATAAGCCTAGAAAAATATGAAACATCAGCTTAGCATTTCAGGAAGCAGAGCGAGACTATCTCATTGTGTGCTGGTAAACTTTCATCTTAACGCTACTTTTTAAAGGGAAATGTTCATGGGATTTAAAAAATCTTGAAAGTAAAGATAAGATGTGTTCATTACACCTAGCAATGGTGGGGAAAGAACTGAGATGGGCATTCACACCCCAGCTTATATAGCATGCCATCTCTCTTGTTTTGTCTTCAACCTTTCCTTTAAGAACTGACAGAAGATCAGTAAATGCCTTCCAAAATTTCAGGATTTGGGCCACATTTATTTTTTTTTAAATTCTTTTTGCATAAAATCAGGATGCCTTAATTCACTGTTAGGCCTTGGTTAGCTGCCCAAATATATTCTTCAAAATTAGACCCATTTCTTAAATATGTCTGGAGCAGCATCAAAACAACATCTGAAGCCAAGGCTAGTGTGTTTTTGAAGCTTTACACAGAAAAGATCTCTAAGGATTTCAGCTATGTTGAGGCAATATTTCTGTGGAGAAAATTTGTATCCAGGCTGACATTTTCCATCCTGGGTTTTCTACCTGCTGTGCTGCGGAATGGCCAAGATATGAAATCTCTGAAGTCGGGGTTATAATGCAACTTTACTGGCCTCCGAGGGCTTGTTGCTCACAGCCATTGTTCACAGATGCCAGATGATCTAAGAAGATCATGGAAACCTGGCACCTCACTGTTTTTTGGCTAACACCACCAAAGAAAATTAATTGTTATTGTTTTTGGAAACTCTCATCCAATGCACAAAATAGTAATATCAGCAATTATGGTTTTTCTGTTTTTTCTTTTTGGGGGAGGTTGGGGTGGGAAGACAATGAACACTGTGATTTTATTATAGCTGCCCCAAATGGCTGGTTTTGGGGCAAGAAAAGGGTGTTACATTCCTGTGGCTGAAAAATCTTATGAAGTTGTGAAGCAAAAGCGCTCCACTAATTTGCCTGAGTTGATGAGATACAGTGACCTTGAGCCTCCTGTCTGATTCAACAGGGCTTGAATTTCTGGTAACTCCTCGCTCAAGACTGATTTGCTCATTAGCCTGTTGAGAGCACACAGCCTTGAGTCAACTAAAATCCTTATTTTCTGTCAACCCACTCTTCTTACAGCCACGTCTCACTCCATTCTCCTACCTCTGATACTTTACCCCAAGCCATGATAGTTCTTTTTCTCACTCTGGCCAGTCATGACCTTAAATCTCTTTCTTCCTTAAAAACTGTAGCCCAAATTCCATATCCTTCAAGATGTTCTTTTGATTCACCCAACCATCCCTCATAGACAGTCTAATCCTTGCCTCTTAATGTGCATTTCTTTTGCTTTCTGTTTGTCTACTAGCCACTTCTGTTTAATGTTTAAACACAGTCCCAGATTTCATCATCCAAGGTGCTATTGACACAACCAGTGCAGTGCTCAATGCCCAGCAGATACAAAAGAAACTCCTACTGACAGTGCTAGCCAGGAGAAGCAGGAGTTCTTTTCTCCTAAGGCCACAGCAAGTGGATGATAATGCTTCGTAAGGTAGAGTTAATCCTCCATGTAACCGTATGTACTGGGCATCTGGAAAGACTAGTGTTTGGTCTTGTTGGACACATGTCACTTTTAGCTTGTGCTGCCCACCATCTGTTTCCCCTTCCTAACAACCTTGACTGAATTCCTTTTGGGAAATTAGCCCTCTCCCGTGGTATTTCTTGGAATGAGGGATATCCAGGCAACTCCCTCCACCATGGATGCAGGTGGGGTCCCTGAAGTCCCTTCCTCCAGCTCCTCCTTCTTGTTGCCTCAGAAAAATAAGGGAGCTAGCCAAGAGCCCTGCCTGGGCCAGAGTTTGACTTTTGGCATGCTGAATCTCTAACAGAGAGGAAAATGCTGGATGTTCTTCTTTCCAAAAGCATACATGAGGTGATCAATTAATTCCTGCTGTCTGGATGTCTGGCATTTCCCTACATCCTATTCTCATCTTGTTTTGTTTCCACTTAATTCTCTAGTCTTCCACCCGGGCTGTGGACTCCAGAATATCCCTCCAATAAATTCCTGCTGTATTCTCAAACATAAATTAGACAAGGTTGCTTCTTGTTAGTTGCAAACCAAAGATTCTTAATACACACTTTTCTCTATTGCTGATTTGCTAACTAACAGAAATTTCAAAATTAGCCAAGTCTCGAGTTTTTCCTCCTCAAAAGGAGTTTTCTGTAGCAGGATCTGGCATTTAGAAGTATGAGTGAGACAAAGGATAACATTGTTTGAATTAATCCAAAGAGTCTACACAGAATTTGAGGACTACATTGGGAGAAAACAATTCAGTTTTAGAAAATCAAATCCAAGAATAATTTTTTGGTTTGCTTTTCTTTTGGAGTGCAGGCTTAGAATTGAGGAGGGGTCCAAAAATTGCTTTTGTTCATTTGATTTGATGGTTTCATGGATGTGTGAATAGGGAAATGCTGTGCTTAAACTACAGGAGACCACTATGGGGCCACTATGTCAGGGAGAGGGACAACTGGTGGTGATCACGAGGGAATAGGAAGAAACTAGGGCATGTCTCTCGCACAACAAATAGACTCAAGAAACCCTGCAAGAAGCCAAAAAGTTGTCTCTTCCCAGAGCTCTCAGTGACTAAAATCCACACAGGCATCAGAATCAATTCAGTTGTCTTTTTAAGGCCGATTAGGGGTAGAGACCCCTGTTATTCTCCCCTGGTCCTCTTGACAGAGGATGCAAAAATATGCCAAGGGATCTACAAGCTGCAAAGACCTCTGGAATCAAATAAGTACCTGCTCATGTAGTTTCTGAAAATCCCACATCTGAATGAGAACCAGGACTGCTGCCTCCAGGGAGGGTTTGCCAGGAAAAACACTGCAGGGCCTCAGTGCAAACAGGACTGCTTGGCAGAGCCCGGTGGATGCGGTGCGGCAGCTGGCCATAGGCAGTGGAGGCGAGGTTGCTGGACAAACAGCCCAATGCTGAGACAAACATCAAACCTGCATCACTACCTCATCTGTCACAAGTCAGCTGGGAAAGGCACTGGGAGCTATGAATTGTTTAAGCTTATATCTTATAGGGAGTGGAGGAAAGGAAGAGAGGTTGAACTTGATGATTTGGCTAATTTGGTGACAGAATTAAAATATCCAGGTAAAAATAAAACAACCACAGTGAAATTTAATCTGATTATTCTCCTTCAAAAACCTGTTTTCTACTGTTATCTCCCAAATGAAAATTGGGGATAATTCTTATTTGATGAATGGCCTGTGTTCCTTTATAAACGTGAACTCTAAACATTTTCCTCAACAACTGTTTCAAACAGGGGAACATGTGTCACGTATTTTGAACTTTGCAAATAATTGAACAAAACTGGATATAAACAAAAACGGACAGTAGACACATAGGGACAATGAAAGTGTCTTGATGATACTTGTGTGATGTTCAGAGAGTCCAAGCCACCATATTGTCAGTCGCCCTTGTAGACACCCCTGAGTTTCTTGTAGGAAAGGAAGCAGCAGGAGATACTGACTTTTCGAAGCCCTTGGTTATTCAGGGGCAGCATGGGGTGGGGGTGAGATGGGAAAAGTGAGACTCTGGGGTGGAGGGTTTTTGAGTTACTTGTCTAAGGGCAGAAAGGAGGCAGCAGCTTTCAAAGGTATATTCCATTATATTTCTCAGCTCTATTCTGGCTTCTTTTGATAGGTTCTCTTGAAAACGGAGATCTCTATCCAGAGATGGGGACTCAAGAAACAGAGCACACTATTGGAAAAAAATGTCCCACATAAGAAAGTCAATCTCTTATTTGTGAGGATGAAACCATTTTTGCATCAAGTTTTGAGTCCAGAGCTGATAGTTGTTTACGTCTCAGGGCTGGCTGAAGATTACTTTGGAAGCTGTCCTCTAACCAGACTTTCAGTATCTGCTATTGTGGAGTGCCTGTCTTCCCTCTTCTCATGCCCTAGTCCCCGTTGGCCTTGGCTGAAGGTGCATTGTTTTGCCTCTAGGCCTGAAGAGGCCCCGCCTTACATCTTCCAGGGGACACACAGCAAAGCCTGGAAAATCAGTGTGGGAGAGATCTTCCAAAGCTCAGGAGCTGAGGTGGTGACAAGAACTGGCAAAAAGAGAATGCCACTAGATGGAGAATGAGGTGGAGGGAGAGCATCAGGGTCAGTGGTGTGCAGGTAAACTGTCTCTCACAAAGTCCCCCCAAACAGTAACAAAACAAAGTCCTGATCTGTGGCATTTGCCAATTTCCACAGTGTAGATACTCCTGCCATGACCGCGGCCTGTTTCTAGCTACTTATAGTTTAACACCAGCTCACAAAATTCCTAAATATTTAGCAGTTTGCTTTCTGAGCTAGTAGTAGCCATCTCCACTGGCTCAGTACCCATGTACACACGGACTCAACTTTGCTCAAATCACTGCATCAGTGATCTTGGAATTGGAAGGATGCCAAGTCCAAGATGAATGAAACAGAAAACACACAACTCAAACAAATTCCTAAGTGCCATGGTAAAGTGAGAACAGTGTCCTCTTTCTGAGGTGACAGGAATACTCTGTGAAGCAGGGAAAGAGAAGGACTAGAAGGCAGGATATTTGGATCAAAGATACAGTGTAAAATTATCTGAAAAACTTTAAGCATCTTCTATATGCCCTGCATAATCACTCTACCTTTACCGATTCATTTGATTTCAAAACAGTCCTATAAAATTGTCAGTATTATTATCCCCAATTCGAGAGTAAAGGGTTGATGTTATGGAATGGGGGGAATAATTTTGGGAGCCTTGAATATGTATCACCACCTCCATTGTCTACCCACTCCTCTGGTATGGAAAAAAAAAGTCTACTCAGGTTTCGGAACTCAGCTTTGTTTCCCCTCTGGGAGCCTTTGCTGACTACCTTAGAATATTTGTATTCCACAAATAATCTAGTCATTGAATGAATAGAAATCATGAAGGAATAAAGTAAGAGCCAGGGTAAGGGCCACTATAAAATTTGACTTCTGGTGCCATCTAAATGGTTCTGTTTAGGGAGAAAGACTGAGAACTTTGACTCCCATTTTATAAATTTGTGTCAGTAAGTATCCTTGCCTTGAGATATCTTAAGGTAAGTTTCAGACTAAGGCCACTGGTTGAGGGGTGAGTTTTAAGTCCCACTAACTTGTGCCTGACCACCAATTTTGCAAGATAATTCTAGGCATGGTAACACCTTTAGAGCAGCCCAGAACATGATAATCTTGAGGAAAGTAGATGTAAAAATGTAGCTCCAACAAAAAGCAAAAGCAAAACCAAAACTCTAAATTTCAGAACTCCAGCAACAGAACACACTGTAACAATACAAAAGCATGGTAGTGATGTAGATAAGAAACTATTATTTTTATAGGCAAACACATTCAAATGTTTACACACAAGCATGTTTTTCTCTGGCTTATTTCCATTTGTTTTTGTTTGAGGAGTGTGTTTTGGAGAGAAAAGGTGTCAGGATAACCAGATACATGAAATGCCTCTTTGGCGAACAGCTGTCAGGACTGGACATTCACACACTTTCTCGCTCATTGTAAAGGGCCGTTCAGCGGAGACAACAAACTGTGTGTGCTGAGAGGAAGCACGATGGAGCTGCCATTTTGTCTTCATCTTTGCAAAATGCGTATAAAACTAAACAAATACAGATGAGCAATTTACCAAAAGATAAAGAAGCATGAGTGTGTGCTTGTGGGTTTGAATGTATGTTTAGGCACAGACAATGGCTTTTTAATACTTTTTCTGCTTTTGTTTATGTGCAACTATAACTTTTCCATTTTCATTGTCTCTCAGCTACCTTCTACCCATCATGTTATAGTTGAACCCAACTTCACAAACAATGTTCACCAGATATTAATATTCTTACCAATGAAAATCAGCTTCAAAAATTATGTGGACAGAGGGCAAAGGAGGCCCCACTAGTTGGTAACCCTGAATTCAAACTCACCTGCTTTAATGTCTCTTTGGCCTGACCACTTTCAAATAACTTTCTCTGCCTGCTTTGGCCTATATGTCGTTTCCAAAATAGCATGAAAAAGTTTTCTCATTGTATTTCAAAAACGAAAAATGTTCCATCTACATCTGGAAATACTAAAAATGTGCTTTCTTACAGTATTTTTTTTTTTTACTAGGTATGGACAAGGTTCTGACCCTTATTATTGGAACTCAAATCCAGATGGAGTTTGGTAAGGTTCTAATCATTTGAGGAGTATTCTTTTTTGAAGATTTGTACATCTTTAGGGGAATTTTTACTTTAAAGAAGTTATCATTTGTGGGAGGTCCGTTATGAAGGTTTAAAATAGTTTGGGGGAATTTCTCTTTCTTTGAAGATTTCTATAATTCAGTGAAAACATTTGCCAACTGAGATGGTCACATTTCTCTACTATAAGCCGCTTCTTCGAATATGAATTAGATCCCTCTTTTAATGTATTGGCTGTAAGTAGGCTTAAGGATTTTTCTTTCTTTCCTTTTTGAACTCTGGAAACAATGAAAAGACAATTCTTGTGCATGAGTGAAAGTAAGAGTTAAAGGTTTAAAGTTGTACAGGGAGACAACCAAAATAGCAAAATAATGAATGCATATGTTAATATCATTGGGTGGAAGATTAAAATAACAATGATCAAAGAAAAGGGTGGTTCAATGTGTGACATTTCTTTCTTTTAACTTAGTGTGTCTTTATGGAAGCCTTATTGTGTGTAAACAAAAAAGTCTTAAAGGCAGTTTTTAAAATGCTTAGTTAAAGGCTAACGTCAGTATAGTTTAATAGGTAACTGATCTATAGATGAAATAACAACTACCAACAGCATCTCTTTCTTCAGTCTATAGCTGACAGATCCTTCTTTCTTATGCCTACAAGTCTGAAATCTACTGAAGTTTCATAGACTGGCTGAAGGCAGTAGTCAGGAAAACTTTAGTCGCAGTCCCAGTGGTTTTCATTATCTATAGCATCAGCTCTTTAACTGGTGCCTTTTAGCCTCTGAATTTACATGGGTTCAAGGGCATCTGGCTCTGGTGACCTCTTACCTTGAATACCCTCAACATTTTCTTTGTGATTTGATATCAGTATTGGTTCTCTAGCTACCTCCATTACAATAGTCCTGGGGTCCATTTAACATCCAAAAACATTTAGTAAAGAGTTACTGTGTGCCAGAAATTGTGCTAGGTGCTTGAGCTCCCACCCCAGAAGAGTGAAAGATGTTGTGTGTCCTGGAGGACCTTCCCCTGAATTGAGAGACCTCAGATCATGAACAATTTGGCAAATGTCTTGGGTTCCTCCCGTTACTTCTGTTCCTTCCCTTGGCCAATCTCTGATTGCAGTTGCAGGTGGGGAGGACAGTCCAAGCAGGCGCAGACTCTTCCTCTACCAGGAAGTGCCTTCACCTCACAAAGGCCTGCAGGATGTCTTTTGCTTTCTTTCCCAGCAGTGCTACACTCGTAGGAGGCTGATTAGAAGAGAATAGATAGCCATGACTTCCATGGCCTGAAAAACCAATAGGAGATTGGAGATAGGAGATGAATACTACAGCTTCTCTTCTTTTAGGGGTACACCTCCAAGAGGCATTCTGTACTCTGATCACAGAAATCCCTGCATCATCAAATAGAAGGTCTTCAGCAGTGACCTTGATCATGCCCTTTCATACTGTTTTCTCCTACTCTGCCTCACTCCTGACTCCTGGAATCACTTCTTAGACCCATAAATGACCCCTATTCAAGACTTTGTCTTAGGCTCTGCTTTAAGAAAAACCCTAAGACAAAGAACAAGTAATAATTATATAACATAAGAAGGAATGTATGTAACTTATAGAAAGCAATTGAGTAGGACAAGGAGACTGGGGTGGAAGATGGCTGATTGCAATTTTAAATAGAGTGGTTAGGAGAGACCCCCTCGGTCCCACTTTTACCAATGGATATAAGTGACACTTGGACAAAGAGTGGAAAAAGATGAGTGATTAGCCCAAAATATGTAAAAAGACTCCTTGGGAGGTAGGGGAGATAGTACAAAGGCCCTAAAGCAGGATTCTTCCCTGCATATGGCTGCAGGGGTGAGACCTGGAGACAGGAGATAAGAGCGGAGAGGTAGGGAGTCAGGACCGGATTACATAGCACTGCCAGACCATTGTAAGGACTTTGAGGCAGAAGCCAATGGAAAGTTGCAGACTCAGAAACTCCCCTAACAGAGGCTGGGCTGGTCAAGTGTGTCCAGTTCCCTTCCAACTTTCCATTACAGAAAAGAGATTGCATGATTGTGTCCCCTTATTTGATGTCTGACTTCATTCTTTCATCTGTTAAATAGAAATGGCAATTCTTGTTATTTAAATTTGTGAGATGTTGAGGTCGGGGTTCCTTGAGAAAGGCTGATTCTTGAACTTCTATCTTCTTGGTAAGTAATTAATTCCAAACCTCTTGTTTCCATATCTAAAGAAAGTTACCAGATGGAAGAGCTGAGATTCTTTTTGTTCTCAAAAGCTGTTTGATTGCCAAGCTTCTAAGAAACATTTTGTAGCATGACAATCTGTTAACAGAATGCTGGATGATAGCCCCAAGTGGAGGCAGACAGCATCTTAAGGTATACTTTATCTTGGAGACTTCGGATATGCTTCCTCTTTCGCTACCTTAGTATCTAATGAAGTACAAGAGCATTAGTGTGTTCTAGCATTTACTCTTTCACATGTTTTGATTGTTCCTACTGAAATTTTAAACATTAATTTACGTTCATGTTAATCCACACTAGCTTATGGCTTGCTTGAAGTGTTGTGGCACTCATGTTTGTTCTTTTCTGATGGATTCTCTTGTTTTCAAGTGCAAAATATAACATTTACTTTTGTGTAACAATCTTTTGAGAAGTCAAAAGTACCCAGGATTGTACTCAGAAGTGTAACAGTAGAAGAGTTCTATGATGCCAATTACATCTGTACCTTACCATGTCACTCTTCTACTTTTGTTAAAAGTTTTTTTACTTTTTACCTTTATTAAAAACGCTTTTAAGTGAGTGTATGTTTCAATACAATTTCACATTGGAAATGATCACAAATTATACGTTTAAATATGTAGATTTCATATGTAGAAAAGTGCTCTGCCTAGCCAGTGTGAATAAGCCACAGAGCTTTGGATTTTAAAAAGCTAGGAGGCTAAGTGTTCTCAGGTGACCTATTATTCTCAGGAATTAAGCAACTAGAACAAGACTGGTATGAATTTAAAAAGTGATTTACTGTCTGGTTCTTTTTCATATGTTCTTAAAGCACAAAATGATGTTGGTCAACCTAGATAAGGAGATTTGTAATTTCTATTTCCCTGGGAAGTAATCTATCCCTTCTACATTTTAAAATGTATTGATAATAGGGTCCTCCATAGTATTTGCAAGTAATTTTTAAATTTCCATATTTGTAATTTGCCATTTTAATTTTTCTAATGGTGTTTATATCTTCTCTTTTTATTTTAAAATTTTTATTGATACATAATATTTACACATATTTATGGTATACATATGATATTTTGTTGCATGCTTAAAATGTGTAATGATCGAGTCATGGTTTTTAGGGTATCCGTTACCTCATGTATTTATCATTTTTATGTATTGGGAACATTTCAAGTCCTCTTTTCTGGTATTTTGAAGTATGCAATACATTGTTGTTAACTATAGTTAGCCTATTCTGATATCAAACATTAGAACTTATTTCTTCTATCTAACTGTATGTTCGTACTCATTAACCAGCCTCCCTTCTGAGACTGTGACGTCTATCATTGTATGATCTACCTCTATGAGATCAACATTTTTAGCTCCCACATATGAATGAGAATATGTGATATTTGTCTCTTTGTGCCTAACTTAATTATATTCCATCCATTTTGCTGCAAATGACACGATTTTGTTCACATTTTTATGGCCAAATAGTACTACATTGTGTATATACATACACCACATTTTCTTTATACAATTATCTACTGGTGGACATTTAGGTTGATTCCATATCTTTGCTATTATGAATAGAGCTGCAACAAACGTGGAGCACGGGCATCTCGTTGATATACTGACTTTCTTTCCTTTAGATAAATACCCATTAGTGGGATTGCCAGACTGGTAGTTCTATTTTTAATTCTTTGTGAAATCTCTGCACTCTTTTCCATAGTGGCTGAACTAATTTACATTGCCACCAACAGTGTGTAAGAATTTTCCTTTCTTCACATTCTTGACAGTATCTAATATTCTTTGTCTTTTTCATAATAGCCACTTTAACTGGGGTAAGATGACATCTCCATTGTGGTTTTGAATTGCATATCTCTGATGACTAGTGATGTTGAACATTTTTTGTTTATCTGTTGGCCATTTGTATAACTTCTTTTGAGACAGGTCTATTTATGTCCTTTGTCCACTTTTTAATGGATTATTTGTTTAATTTTTTTTTTTTACTGTTGAGTTGTTTGAGTTCCTAGTATATTCTGGATATTAGTCCCTTGTAGGATAGCTTGCAAATATTTTTCACTATTTGACTTGTTGCCTCTTTGTTAATTGTTTCCTTTGCTGTGCAGAAGCCTTTTAGCTTGATGTAGCACTATTTGCCTATTTTTGTTGCATGTGCTTTTGAGGGCCTATCCATAAAATCTTTGCCTAGATCAATATCCTGAAGTATTTCCTCTATGTTTTCTTCTAGTAGATTTGTGACTTCAGGTCTTATGTTTAGGTCTTTAATCCATCTTGAATTGATTTTTGTAGGTGGTAAGAGGGAGGGTGAAATTTCCTTCTTCTGCATCTAGATATTCAATTTTCCGAGGACCACTTATTAAAGATGGTGTCCTTCCCCAATGGATGTTCTTGAGCCTTTGTTGAAAATCAATTGGCTGTAAATATGTAGGCTTATTTCTGGCTTCTCTATTCTATTCCATTGGTCTGTGTGTCACTTTTTATACCAATAGCATTCTGTTTTTGTTGCTATAGTCTTATATTTTGAAGTCAGGTAGTATAATACCTCCAGTGTTGTTCTTTTAGACTGGGATTGCTTTGGATATTTGAACTCTTTTTTGGTTTTATATGAATTTCAGGATTATTTTTAATAATTCTATAAGAAATTACGTAGGTATTTTGATAAAGATTACATTGAATCTGGAGATTACTTGAGCAATGTGATCATTTTAATGATATCAATTCTTTCCATTCATGAGCATGGGATGTCTTTCCATTTATATCCTC